CAAAGACTTTTTGGGGAGTGTTGCTGGAGTGACAGTCCTTGGCCAGATATAGATCTGGGTCGTTCCGGTTACGTAGACGCGACTGTCTGTACTCTATCGACAATTGTGGTTCTATGCAAGATACGACACTTGCAACGAAGCTGATTGCTCTTGGAGTTAACGTATAAGAGCTGGTGGTATCCCTCAACGTCGTTTAACACAGCTGTATTAGTTTCGCGGGGATACCAAATTCATCGACAAAATTATGGTTTATGACGACATTTATCTCGGTAGTCTTTCCCGAAATTGGTCTAATGTCACACTCATAAGGCCAAACCAGTTAGTTGACGTTCGGCTCGACTCTTTCACGCAATACGATTGATACGGGTCGATGTTAGGTCCTTGAATCGTACATACAGCTAACACTAGAAACGTGTCTTCCGTCTCTCATCACCTGCTCGATTCTCGTTTTTCGATCCGGTGGTGGATTTCTTACGCGGCAACGTGTCGCTACACACTTTCCTGTTTCAGACCCCGGCGAAGTCAATCATCACTAGATCGTTAGCGAAGATTTCTTCGGGTATGCTAAATTTTGCAACGCTAGGACCAAGGATCGCTTCCTTGTTCGCCATGCCATTGAAGAGGCCAGCACGATTTTAGGTTGTCGCAGGGATAACGAGCTTTAAAATTTCCTAGAAACGGTCATGCGCTCCATTTTATTGCAGCTGCAGTAGACGTCGCAAAGGTACACCTGGCTGTTCTCTAGTCAACCACAGGCTTCCTGAGGAAATTAACCAGCCGGGCTTAAGTTGGGACTGTAAAAAAAATTTTCAATGGAATTACTTTTTACGTGGGTCCTTAACCCAGCCAGAAAGAACGGTAATAATACGAGGCCAGTAATAATAGAGGTGTCTACTACAACTTTGCAGGACCCGGGTTCGATACCTGGTCCGAGCAAGATCTAAATTATAAAAAGTTCTTTCTAACAGTGGTCGCCCCCCGGCAAGTAATGAATAACCTGCGAGTGTGTTTCTTTCATGAAAATCTTCTTAAAATCCATTTGCCGCTCGGAAGCGAAAATATGAGTAGAAGCGCGGCCATACACTTAGCGAAAGTGTTAGCGCTAAAATATTATTATTATTATTTATTTTGTTACATGAAATTTTAATTTTTATAAACATGTTGGATATCTATGACAAAAAGAGCATTCACATTATAATTTAAATAAAAAATACATATACATACATACATATGCATCTATATACTCAGCCAAAGGTCTTGTCTGTGGCCTAACTGGCGTCCATTTGTCCAATAGTCAAGTGTCGCTTATAATGCCTCACCACCCGCTGACTATTCGAAGAGCTTAAAGTAAGTGAAAGCTTAAAAAAAATTAGCACTTTTAATATTTAAAAGGATGTACTTTGTGCAAAATTATCATAAATAAATGTATAGAACAAAAATCTAAAAACAGCCGATGTAAAAATACTATAAAACAAGTATACATAGAATAGTTGAACTGAATTTTGGCAATGTTTGTTTGCATTTTATGCACAGCAAGAAGAAGTTGGAAGCAGTTTACTACAAATTTAGTAGCTTTCTGCCGCAGCGCGCAGCTCTTCCATTAGTGATGGACCCTCCAGTTTGTTTCCGCTCTGTATTTGCGACATATTTAATGTGGCGTGCGCACTAACGAAGTGCTCCAAATCACTGCGCAGGCCGTAAACGCTAGCTTCGAGTTTATTTAAATTTGGCACACACTGATTGCTACGTTGTATAAGGTCAAGGATGGTGCTGGTTTTCGGGCGTTGTGTCGCCAACGCCGATTGTTGGATTAACTGCAAAAGAAAATTAGGTTTTATCATTAAAATTGTTGTAAATCAAAATTAAAATGGAATTGGCACCTTTTTATAATCATCTATTAGATTGGCTACTTCGTGCGCCGGTTCGTCTCGCTGCTGCGCTAGAGCTGCTGATTGGCATGTGTACGTCGTCGCCTTGCCCAAGTCAGAGGCCTCAAATTTTTTACGCTCCATTTCTAGAGCCTGCTCGAGTGCCTAATTGAGAAGAGTATAAAGTTGTGTGCATACAAAATGGTGTTAATCAGCATTGGGCGTACCTTTATTGTGCTTTGGTTTTGCTCACACTTCAAACGCATCTCCTCCAGCTGCCGTCTGGTCAACTGCAGGCTTCGCAGCTCCTGCATCGTCGTACTCTGCTCTATGCTCAAATTTGTTGCGCGCTGCTCAGCCGCACGTAAAGCCTTTTTCAGTTTTTTTATGTTGCACAACAGAGTGTGTATGTGCAAATCGTAGCGCTTCATTTTGCGCCTATACTCTGCTTCGAGCACCTTCGTTAGTATTCGCATGCGATCGTTGTTGTCAGAATCACTGTTGCTCAGGTGTCCATTGCCATTGCTTGAAAGAGATGAAACGTCGTCGGAGCTACTCCCCATGGGGACTGATCGGGGTGCTACAACCACAAATTCTGGTGGCAACAAGAGCCGTTCCCGTTTACTTTTCTTCAGCTGTTGCAATTCGGTCTCCATTTCAGTCACTCGCTCTGAATGATTATTACGCTCTGCCTGTATCGCGTCCATTTTAGTTTGCAGCGCGCGCATTTGTCTCTGGTTTTTTGCTACTTCCGCGGCGTAATCTTCATTAAGCTGGCGTTCGAGGCGTTCGTTTTTGCCTTGCAATTCTTCGATTTTGCGTTGCTTTTCCTGGCTATCTGTCAGCTGAGCACCAAGATTAGCTTGCAACTCCTCCACCTGTTGCTGGAATATGCGACGCGTTTCCTCAATTTCAGCTGGATCTCTATTAACTTCATCGGTTAGCGTGGTTTCTTGTAGCCGTCGCAGCTCTTCATTCTGTTCAGCAAAAAGTGCATTCAACTCTTCCAGCTCAGCGTGTTTCAACTGCAACTCGGCCCTCGTATTTTCCTCTAATTTTTGTGCGGCTTGCAGCGCCAACAGCAACTCTTCCCATTGCTCTTGGGAATCGGTCAGCTGCTTCACTTTGCTATTTTGCTGCTCCAGCAATTTTCGTATAAGTCGCACTCTTTCGTTACGTCGCTCCTCGTCGGTGCGCATCGCTACCTGTAAACGCCTTTCGAGTTCTTTCACATGAGACCTCAAATTGAGGATTTCTCTCCCTTCATGTGCGTTTTCAATTACACGGGGAATTTCGTTTGTTTGAAGAGCATCTAATTTGCCTCTCAATTCTTGAACAATCCCCTGTTGTTGTGAAAGCTTATTTGCAAAATCACTTTTCGCCACCAAAACGGTTTGCAATTCGTTCAGCAATCGTTTATTTTCTTCTTGCAGTAATTGAATAGTTTCTTCGTAGGCGTCCAATTGACCTCTGTAACGACTCTCTTGCTCGTTTTTGCTTTTCTGGTGCTGCTCATGACTTTCCAGCAGCTTCTCCTGCAGCTTTCCCAGTTCTTCACTGCAGGTGCTAGCACATTCTTGTAATTCAGAACATTTTTGATTTCTTGCTGTTAAAGCGAGTTTTAGTGGTTCAACTTCTGCTGTTTGCTTCTTAGCAGTTGTCAGCAGATTTTTTAGTTTTTGGTTTTCTACGACCAATTTTTTTAATTCCGAGATTTCTTGGGCGTTGAGTGACATTTCTTGAGGAGTATTTTCGCTTTTGATAAGAGTTTCAAAAGCTTCCAAAATTCGTTTCTTTTCCAAAGAAAGAAGGTTTTGGTTGTCCAAGTTTTGCAATAGCTGCTCTGGGTGTCCCATAATACCAACACATTCCTCCGCATCATAACCACTAATTATGGATAAATCTTAAAAACAAAAATAAATGGAAAGATAAAGAATAAAGCGATGATAGCAAAAAAAGTTGTACCTTTATTGGAACACACTGAAATTCTTGAAGGTCCTGAATCTGAACGATTTTTTCCAACATTGTCATTTTTTTCATTTACGCTGTTTCCGCTTGCGTCCAAAAACCCACTATCGTCCTCTTCGTTTAGATTTTTTCTTCCTGTATCCACTTCATCACTTTCATGTTCCCTTAAAAAATCCTGTGTATTGCCGACTCGGTTTATGTCACCTTTGAATTCCGATCCGACTTCTTCTTCTTTCCCACTTTCCTTATGTGGTTTCCCTTCCAAAGTAAATTTTCTCTCAAATTCTCTCAATTTAAATAGCAATTCGTCCTTTTCAGTCTGCGAGTGTTTCAATTTCGCTTCAAACTCGTTTATTTTGGCGCCCAACTTCTCTGTATGTTCCATATAGTCTTTCAGCTTATCGCGAAGCAGATGGATTTCGCGCTTATCGCCATCTGCTTGGAACTGGAGCTTACCCTTTTCAATTTCCAGTAACTCCAGTTCAAAACGTGTGCGCTCACAAAGCGCACACATATTGGCATATTGCTCGTGCAAGGCGATCAGTTCCCGATTGACATTTTTTAGACTTGATTCTGCAGAATTCAGACTTTCGATTATGACGTCGTGTTGAGCTCGCGCCTTTTCTAAGTTTCGCTGTAGTTCAGTAATTTGTTGCGTTTTTTCTTCGTCAGTTTCCTGAAGATTTGATAATTCGCATTGTCGGGCTTCTAAAGTAAAGTTTAGTTGCTCTATGTGCCGCGCTTGCTCCTCATTCTGTGACTGTAGCTCAGTTAAAGTACTCAACTCGATTTGAACTGCGCGCAACGACTTCTTGAGGGAAGTAATTTCGTCAGTTTTAGCATTAATCTCACAGTGATATGAAACGCTCAATCGATGTACTTCATCCATGTTTGTTTCGTGTTCAATATTGTTTTTAAATTTTTGTTGAATTTCGTGAACTTCATGTTCTTTGCGGGCTAGCATTTGTTTTTGTCGGTTGCACTGCTCTTCCAGCTCTACAATAAGAGTTTGCATTTTTAGCTTTTCGACATTTTCTGCATCCAGCACTGCATCTTTTGCTTGAAGAGTGTCTTCTAATACTTGTCTTTCGGTCAGTAGTCGCATGCACTGCGCTGTCATGCGTGTATTTTCCACTTCAACTCCTGCGAGTGTTTCTTGCAGCTGCAGAACCTTGGTGTCTTTTTCTTCGTTCAGTCTTCTTAAATCTTCCAGCAAAGCTTGCTTCTGTTTTCGCAAAACGTTGATTAACTTTTGTTGATCGTCAATCAAAGACCGCTGCTGATCTAATTCGAACGAGTTGAATTCTTTATCAGCGCTCTCTATTCTACTCATCTGTTCTTCATTCTCGACTAGCTTTTGCACAGCTTTATCCTGTTTAGCCTGTGTTTCCTTTTCTATTTGACCACATTTGCCATAAAGACGCATACACTCACGTTGTAAATGTTGATTCTCTTGCATGTACTTGCGCTCTTGAGCATATAGCCGTTCGATTGCTTCCAGTCGTGTCCGTTTTTGCGATCGCAGTTCTTTTTTGTACCATCCCTCCGACTTATTAAGTCGTTCAAGTTCGCTTCGCATCTTGCGCACATCTTGCATAGCCAGGAATAGAGCGTGATCCCTCTCTCTCAACAGCGTATGTACATGCTGGCAATGGTTATGTAGTTCAGCATCTAATGGGCAGGTTATTTCACTGGTAATAGAACTGGTAGAGTAATTCCCAGAATCATATGTTAAAACACCACTTCTCGTTTCACTAGTGGCAGACTTTTCCGACAAATCTGAACTGTTAGGTATACGCATGGAGGAAGAAGAGTTTTCCGTTTCGACAGTTGACACGACCACCAAATCGCCTTCGGTATCGTCGTCCATCTGAGAAGGAGCCCCCACTGGAGGCTGTGAAATTCCCTCCAAATTCATCATTAGCTATTTGTGGTTCTATTCGAATATCAAATATGATTTAATTATAAATCTGTACATATAATTATGCAAATAAGTCTTACTTGTCGAGTCTGGTTTATTTTGGTGCGGCTGACATCATTTCTTGATCAAGTTTTGTTCGCTTCATTGCAGTGTTCCATCCACTCTTGTCTGTGCATCCTACCGAATTATATAAACATATAAATCTACACCTAGACAATAATAGCGNCACCAAATCGCCTTCGGTATCGTCGTCCATCTGAGAAGGAGCCCCCACTGGAGGCTGTGAAATTCCCTCCAAATTCATCATTAGCTATTTGTGGTTCTATTCGAATATCAAATATGATTTAATTATAAATCTGTTCATATAATTATGCAAATAAGTCTTACTTGTCGAGTCTGGTTTATTTTGGTGCGGCTGACATCATTTCTTGATCAAGTTTTGTTCGCTTAATTGCAGTGTACCATCCACTCTTGTCTGAGCATCCTACCGAATTATATAAACATATAAATCTTTACCTAGACTATAATAGCGTTGTAAATTAATTTTCACAAATTTTCTTGTTTTTCAAGTTTTTAACTTCTGTTTTCTTTCACTATTTTCACATTTTTCCTTTTTTTCTATTTGTGACGTACACAATTCGCCTTCGCGGAAACAGCTGATTACTGTTACCTGTGCAGCGTTGCCACTGAATTACCTCATATTGGCACTATGGTTATTTCGGTTTTAAAAGCGAGCAAAAAATTAATGGCGTTATTCATAAAAAATTAAGTAGGTTTAAAGAGCTTTATAAAATGACGCTTTCATAAATAAACCTCTACCTAATGACTATCTTTTTAATAGTTGTGTTTGTTTACAAATTATCCAGTAACTTGCTAGCAACTCTCCAGTAACCAAAGAAGGTAAATCTATAGAATATATATATAGAAATAGTTTTACCTTCTTTGATATCGTTATGATCACCTCAATGGTCTCAATCGATCCTATTTTTTTTAATTCGATAGCAATAGGTATTGTGCATTCCTTCCCTTATTTTTATCGATTTTTCTATCCATATTATTATCGCTTTTGTTATAGATATTTTTTTCTAGTGTGTGCGTTAAAATTTTCAATAGTTTTTCGTTGTGAAACACAGCTATTGTCCATTGTAAACACGCCGTAAGCCTGTACGGGACATTTTGTACTTTCTTTTCAACAGATCTTCGCAAATCAGCTGTTTTCTGCATTTTGTTTTTATTTGGTATACCTTCGCTGTCATCGCCTGATTGTTTTGAAACGCAGTTAATTGATTTCTCTTTGTGCCACAATATAACCAGTAAACAACCTTCGGTGAATTTGGCGACTGCCTTCCTCGGGGATGAATATGCTAGGGATGAAACTATTGGTACACACGCCTTCCAAGCACGCAGGGTTGCTTTTAATCACCAAAAAATAATTAACTCCAAATAGTTTCAAAAAGTATAGTGTAAAACGAAATTTATTGAATAATTCCACATAAACTGGTATACATCAATGACGCATTTTCTAAACGATTTAAATTAAACGCATTTGAGAATTGATATAAAAGTACTACGGATTGTAAATTTTTGTTAACTATGAGGTGAATGAAAATTTTCAACCCGGCCTGATGGTTCGATTTTATTACTAAGGCGTCTAATAAATTCATGGCTTTTAGTTCTAGAAGAATAAATGTCAGTAAAGACAAGTCTTTTTTGTATAATTTCTGATTTTAATTGCTCAACTTCTTTTGAACCAGAGCAACTGTCAAAAATTTCCAGCTGCGAAAAGGTAACGAATTGGCACAGCAGAAATGTAAATTTTTCTCGCCATAATAAAAAGTTTTTTCAACATGGATCTTTTCTACTAATTGACATGAAATTACTATCCCAACGCTCGGAGCGCTGCCACACAACCCTGAAATCTAAGAAAAAGTCTGAGAAAGGCCATTAAATAGCAGCACACAACCCCGTGCCTTCCTCAGGAGTGAATTTAACTACAACAACAACGACTACTACAACAACAACCCAAAAAGGTTGGTTACTGTCTATATTGTGATTTGTGCTGATTTTATTTATTTTTTACGCGAAAAATATAAAATATCATCGAATTTCCACATAATTGTGTACTCAGATGTCATAAGAAAGAAAATAAAAAAATTCAGTAATAAAGTAAACATGCAACCAACTTAAATGCATGTAAATGCAAAATCATGCCAAGACAAGAATAAGATTTAGATTTAAGATTGTGTAAAATTCCNCTCATCGCTCCAGTTTGACAATGGCAGAGGAGTGCACACAAGAGCCATTCATAATCTACAGAGAGGGTGTGGCGCAGCACCTACAGTGGACTTCTGTGCCTGCGCTCGAGCGGCAACCAGCCGTCCGTCTATGTGCTGTAGATAAGCCAGATTTACTTTTTCTTCTAACTGCTGACGGATCACTCTTCATGGCTTCACAGGCGCTAGAGTCTGCTGATACATTGCAAGTTCAGTTGCTCCGAACAAAAATAGCGGATGTGGCTTACTGTCGACATATGAGTCAGTTGTTTGTGGCTACTACTGAAGGGGAAGTGCAAACGCAATACTTAAAAAATACCGACATCATAAACTCGGGATCAGAGACATGGCAAACTCTTTCCTTTGACCCCCTTGAACTCTCTGAAGAAGGCATACTCATTGAGCGTATATGCTGTGCTTCCCGAGGTGTAATCTTTATGACACGCACAGGGGAGCTGTATGCAATGGGTAGTTGCGGAGAGGTATTTAACGCAGAAGTACAGCCTAAGCACATGCGTCTCATCTATGGCAATAAGGAAATACTGGATCTCGTAGCAGGCGATGAGTTTTTTGTTTTATTATTGCAACGCGCCTATCCTACACAGGAAGACCCCTTAGAACTGTTCAGCAGCAAGCGTCAACCAAATCATGCTTGTAAATATAACAATTGTATATAATTTTTGTGGTTATTAAATGCGTTTTTTCTGCTCAGCTACTTCAACACATTCTCCATCACCTGCACCAATGCACCACAGTAACTACTTGGAAGTTGAGAGTACCAGCGCCGAAGAAGCTAGAGACAAAAAACTTGAAGTTAATTCCAACTCGTCAATGCGGTCCTACAGCAGCACTAAGTCGAGCCACACCCAGCAGGAAGACATTGACTATTGCCTTAGAGAAATAATAAAACAAGGTTACGCTTTGGTGCACACTCAAGTGTGTACCTTTGGCGCAGAAAATGGTGGACTTCTGGGCACTGGCGATCACATCAAACGCAACGCATTAAACTATTTGCAAAAGTTAGAAGCGCTGGGTGTTTGTAGTGTAGCTGCAGGGCGAGAACACAGTGTTGCTCGAACTCTAGATGGTAGACTATTCCACTGGGGTCTTAATACACAGCAGCAACTCAATAACCAGAAAGAACTATCTAATATTAGTTCGCCAGCAGAACTGAAATTGGACAAAGTGGAGCTGGAGATCACTCAACGAAATATTCTCAATGCCTGCTGCGGCGATTTTCAAACTGTTCTTTTAAATGCCCGCGGTGAGGTACAACTAAAGGAGCACCAGCTATCCAGCTTTGAACAACATCTACTGACTTTAAATATGCGCGATGCTACAAATCGAAAAACCATTCCTTTAGTGCTCGCTTCAGCGACCTATACTTTGCAGAACCGTCGTAAGTTTCAACGCCAGTTCCACGCTTATTACACCGGTCTTCAGCAGCAACTTAAGCTGCTACTAAGGTATCGTCATGGTATACAGATGATTGAGCTTTTCCAGCAGAAGAGTACTGCATTAGTGCTGAAGCAGCTGCAACACATATGTAACAGCTACCACAAACTTTTGTACCTGATCGCTTGTACCCTGCGTTCCTTTGAGGACTTCTACCGCTCAGATTTCACTAATCCCGCAGAGTTAGTGTTTGTCCAGCACTACCGCGAGTGTATTGAATTGTTTACGCAGTACACAAAAGTTTATTGTGACCTTTACTCGGTCGATGGCTTCACGGAGGCTTCGAAACTATATAACAATTTGTCTAGCGTACCACTACTGCCTGGTAAACATGAGCACAACGTTGACTTGGTGCGCATCTGTCAGCAGCCATTTCAAGCGTTCCCCCATTACGTGCAATTCCTCGAACAACTCATAAAAATACGTCCTGAATTCACAGAACATCTTTACGCTTGGGATAGCTTCAGCCGACAGCAACGTATCGATTTAGAACTTGCGGAAAACACCTTCGAGTTTTGGCAACGAAATGAACGCAACTCCAAAATAAGGCATTTCCGCCGCAAACAGCGCCGTGTCATACTCGCCTCATCAACGGTGCCCCTGAAATTGGCACACACTACAATGAGCATGTCTAGTACCACATTTATCTTGTTTTCCGATTGCTTCTGCCAGGTTGGCAGCCACTTGTATACCTATCCTTTGGTTACTCTCTGGCTGAAGATGGAAAATGACACCGCTTTGCGCATAACCACGCCGGAACGCACGTTTACATTACTTGCGCGAACACATCACGACAAAAAACTTTGGTTTGATCAAATAGAATCCGCTGTGAAAGCGGCGCTCGGCCGTTCGTCTGACACCAAACTGTCGAGCGTGCGCACAACAGCTCACGTTTTCAGCCGCAACCATGCCAAGTATGCCGGAGTACACGCGTGTGGTCGCTGGAGAAACGGGTTATTGCATGGAAACTGCTATCTCGAGTATCCCGACGGACGCGTCTACTTTGGGCAAATCCGCAATGGTGAAATTGAAGGTAAAACTGATTGGCTTGTGTTGCTATCAAACCTAAAACATTTCTTATTTCAAAAGGTTATGGCAAAATGGTGATACCCTCGGTAGGAATTTATGAAGGCAATTTTAAGGGTGGTAAATTTCATGGCCATGGAACCTATGAGCTGAAAGAGAATGAGATTTACGAGGGCCATTTCTGCGAAGGTCTTTTTCACGGACACGGCATGCTGCGTAGCAACAGCTACACCTACGTTGGCGAATATCAGGCCAATGCCAAATGTGGCTATGGCATTTTGGACGATATGATAACAGGTGATAAGTATATGGGCATGTTTGCTGACAATAAACGCGTGGGTGCTGGAATTTGCATTACCATGAATGGCGACTACTTCGAAGGCCTGTTTACGAACGATGAGCTGGCTGGCACCGGCATAGCTGTTCTGGAGAACGGTTATTACTATGAGGGGGAATTATCGGTTGATGGACCAATCGGGAAAGGTGTGTACTACTTGCCTACCGGTGCGTCTGAGACTGAAGTGAGTGCGAATATAATTTAAAGAAAATTGGGTTTTTTCAAGCCTCTTCGTTATAGGATGCTGGTATGAACGAAAATGATGAATTCGAGAACGGTCAAATGGTAGGCAATGTTTTGAGCGGCCAATTAGCTGGCACATGGCACGATGTGCGAATTGTCTCTGGTGCTATGGCCATGAATAGACGTTTCCCCAAATATCCGAAGTAAGATTTGATTATGTTTTTTACTGAAATTATACCGGGAATTACGTTGTGCTTTCATTCCAGATCTATCGGGTCATTTGTTGTGGACAACAGCCGAAAATGGCGCTCGCTGTTTGATAATTTCGAGGAAGAGGTTCTCGGCTCTGCCAGCAATAACAACAAAAAAACTGACGACAGCGTAAACGCAACAAATACCCTCTGGAACCGCATTTCCGTTTACATGCATTCGGAGCGGGAACGAGAACGTACGCTAGAGCAACAGGACACGGCATATCAATCATCGCGCAGTTATTTTGCCAAGAATATATCACTTGGATTCTCCAACAGCTTTGACAAGCTCAGCCTCAAGTCTACAAACAGCTTACTCACCACTGCAAAGTCGAGCATACTTGATTTGAGTAGCAGTCTGACTGAATCGCGGCGATCACATTCACAAGAGACACTCTACGATGCAGATGTAAATGACTTTGACAACGTTTGGGGCACGCAAAGCTTTACACACTACAATAGTGACGAACACAACTCGATTAGTGGTTTGTTCATCGCGCCCATCAACAATTGGTTGACCGATGCAAATACCTCCAGTTTACGCTCATCCTTCGACAGTATAATAAATATAAGCGAAAGCTTTAATAACAATAGGTAAAGAGTCTTATTGCCGTTAAATATGTTCAACTTCTACCAAAATCTATGTTTCCCTCCAGCAGTTTCACCTCACAAAACGAACTGGAAATTGTGCCCAGCTTCGGCATCACTTCACTGACAGAGCAGGACGTATCCGCCATCAAGGACTACCTACAGCAAGTATTCAAGGATCGTTATCATCCATTACATCTGCTAAATCAGCGCATAGCGAATTGCTTCTACACCTCATATGGCTGCTGGAAAGTGAAGCCGACACCCATATTGGCAAAGCAAGCGATACGCGAGTGGGAATCCATTTCGAAACGCGTATATAGATTTGTGCAAAAAATGTTTCCCGCATTGCCCGATGATTACTGCTTAATAGAGAGCACGCGCGAATTGGTTTCCCACATCACTCTGCTCTACCCAATAGTGCTCAGCGAAGGTATCTATTCGACATTGTTTGTGCTGTACGCGAACAAGTGTAGTGGGAAGGACGAAATGTATAGACAGAATCTGATGTATGCCAGTAAGCTGAAGGACGACGAGCTGGCCACTTGTCTAGGGCTGGAAAGGTAGGAGAGGTGCCAGTCAAAGTATCTTTTTGGTTATATGATTGTTTTGCCATTCCACAGTTCTTTCCTACCCATTGTGCGACATGCCCTCTACGCGGAGGCAATACAAACTCTGAAACAACTCAAAGAGAAATACAGCCCGAAAGCGATGTTAACTGTGATAGAGCGTTGCATACAACAAATTACCGACGCACACAAAACAATTGCAAGTGGTGAGTTTCTATAATTGTGATACAACTCGGCATGCGATAATAAATTTACTCAAAATATATACATACTTTTCTAGCGAACTCTGTGATATTGGCCGCCGATGGCATGATGCCACTTACCCTGTTTCTGGTGCTGCGCGCCGCTGTACCCCATTTAGGTGCTGAATTAGCGTTGCTGGACGATTTGACCGGCGGCACTAATTTCCAATTCGAAATGAATGGCATTGCAGGTTATTGCTACACCACACTCAAGGTTAGATATACATATGTACATACGTAAAACATGTATACAAATGCATATGCCGGGAGATTAGCAGTTGATTTTGCACAATTTATTTGCAGGCTGCCTATGAGCATATCACCGCGGTGCCGCTAAATAAGACGTAATTTAGTCAACACAACCCCCCGCTCAAAATCCGCAACATATTTTTAGATTTACTTATTTAGGCGTATTGGTTGTTGAGGACCCGAAAAATGAAGACTCTTAGCATGCGGAGATGTATTCGAAAGTGTAAGATCTGAACTTATAAGTTATTGCCCAAGTAAAGTGTTTTCGGTAAATTTATGCATTGTATAAAAAAATGTACCACAAGTAATGAGTTTAAAATTGTTTAATACAATATATAGGAAGTTAAGTTGAAGTTCAAGGCTTTAAAAAGCAGAAATGCAAAGATATAACTATCGCTTAATTCAGATTGAAAATCGTTTTGTAATTAACAGTACATATATGTATCTGTATTTATATTTTAATTGCTTAAACATTTGATAAAATTTGTTGTTAATTTAAAATACTGAAAATATTCCCTAATCTATTAGTAATAAAGTATAAAGTTTTAAAACACTTAGGTTAAGTAAATACTAACATTCCACTTATTTAAAGGGAAAAATATGTAAGATACGCATTAGATCGATCTGAATTGTAAAGGACGAAGCAATGCAATGTAATGTAAAATTATGTAAAATTATCACAATACAATAAAAGAGATCTGTTATCAAAAATATGCGTTGGTCGAAATAATCTAAGATAAGAACAGCGACCAATTGCCCTCGTCCATATTTTGTATGGGGTGAAAAGTATTATACTGAGGACAGGGTATACAAAATTATATCCGCTCAAATACTGCCGCTCTTGCGTCCACGGGTTACGACAGAATTAGAGGGAGCTGACTTGGACTTGTCATACGAATGGGCCAAACACTCCAGCCAAGACTTTTTACTGTTCCTATGGGGTTTGTAGGAGCGTGTGTCTTGTGAAAATTTTAAGAATCGGAAGTTGTAAATTGGAACTGTAATAAACAAAAAAATATTTCTTATATTAAAGCAATTTCATTTCTTTTAATTTCATTTATTGTACAACGCGGATAGCATTGACAAAGAATAGGCATGCAGTGCTGAGATAATTGTAGGTAGGAACAGTCAAGTCCTTTATTGTAACAGCAATTTGTTGAAGTGCACACCTTTGATTCGACTCTCGGCTAATGTAATGATAAGTGTAAATGGTCATTGGCAAAGCAATTAAGCTCTGTTCGCTATGCAAATACTAGTAAGAACTAGCCAGTAACAAAATTCAGAGAATAAGGTATCTTACTCTCCCAAAGAGNGACGGACGGACGGACGGACAGACAGTCACCGCTTAATCGATTTCTCTTTTCATTCTGATCATTTATGTATACATTTGTCTATATCTATCTCGATTCGTTTTGCCTGTTACAAACAACCGTTATGTGAACAAAGTTATAATACCCTTGTGCACAAGTGCGCTCGGGTATAAAAATATTTCTTATATTAAAGCAATTTCATTTACTTTAATTTCATTTATTATACAAGGCGGATAGCATTGACAAAGAATAGCCATGCAGTGCTGAGATAATTGTAGGTAGGAACAGTCAAGTCCTTTATTGTAACAGCAATTTGTTGAAGTGCACACCTTTGATTCGACTCTCAGCTAATGTAATGATAAGTGTAAATGGTCATTGGCAAAGCAATTAAGCTCTGTTCGCTATGCAAATACTAGTAAGAACTAGCCAGTAACAAAATTCAGAGAATAAGGTATCTTACTCTCCCAAAGAGAGAAACTTACTAAGTTTTGCGCAAACAGGAATTAGCAAACATTTGCATATATTGCATATAATATTTTTTTTTACATTGTTTCAGGTAGAAAACCTATAACTACCGATACATATTTATGCTCATTCTGACTATCTTTAACATGCGCTTCAATTTCTTTGTGGAAGTCTCTGCCGGATTTCCTATATCGACAGGGGTGTCGAGTGCGTTCCGGTTACGAATATATGGCTCGAATCGTAACATCCGTTCACGNGCAAACAGGAATTAGCAAACATTTGCATATATTGCATATAATATTTTTTTACATGGTTTCAGGTAGAAAACCTATAACTACGTATACATATTTATGCTCATTCTGACTATCTTTAACATACGCTTCAATTTCTTTGGGGAAGTCTCTGCCGGATTTCCTATATCGACAGGGGTGTCGAGTGCGTTCCGGTTACGAATACATGGCTCGAATCGTAACATCCGTTCACGACGGATCGAAAACCATACAAAAGAAAATTACGTGATACCGTCAGTCGTATAAGCTGAATTGGATAAAGAGTACGCTCACGTATGTCATAATCCGAAAACGGTGTGTTTACGTGACGAGTAATACGATATCGTATGTGACGATTCGAGCCCTGGATAAAATTTTGAAAGGAAATTTTCAATACGTTTTTGTACTTATGCACAAAACATATACTATTTTTTTATTGTACTCAATTTTCTCTTTAACTTGGTATCCATACTGTTTTTCTGCATTGCATTGAATTTTTTTTAAAGAATTTTTGAATTGATCATATTTTTCAAGTTTCCAAGCCCTTTTGAAAAGAATCCTGACGTCAGAGAGAAAAACTAAAAACGCGGTATTACTATATTTGGTCCATGATTTCGCGAATATATTGACCTTCGTGTGAGTAAAATTGACTGTTGCACGGTGTAATATATACACGAAAGGGGTTTGAATTTCTATTTTTTATATTAGCTATTTTTATTTAATTTTTTTATTAAAGTAGCTTTGTACTTTAGTTTTAATCAATCAATATNTTTTACGTGACGAGTAATACGATATCGTATGTGACGATTCGAGCCCAGGATAAAATTTTGAAAGGAAAATTTCAATACCTTTTTGTACTTATGCACAAAAAATTTCCTTTTTTTTTATTGTTCTCAATTTTCTCTTTAATTTGGTATCCATACTGTGTTTCTGCATTGCATTGAATTTTTTTAAAAGAATTTTTGAATTGATCATATTTTTCAAGTTTCCAAGCCCTTTTGAAAAGAATCCTGACGTCAGAGAGAACAACTAAAAACGCGGTGTTACTATATTTGGTCCATGATTTCGCGAATATATTGACTGTTGCACGGTGTAATATATACACGAAAGAGGTTTGAATTTCTATTTTTTATATTAGCAATTTTTATTTAAATTTTTTATTAAAGTAGCTTTGTACTTTATTTTTAATCAATCAATACGAGTTAGGCCGAATTTCCACTAGGTATTGAAATGACAAAAAATTGGAGGCATTTAAAAAATTCCATGTGGAAATGAATTTAATGCATATTTTTTAACGTAATTACACGAATATTTTTTAATGCCCATCTTTGCCATTTAAATTTTTGTCATTTAATGCATAGTGGAAATCCTGCATTATAATGAATTTATTAATGGTGCAGTCCTTTTGCAAAATAGAGATATGTTTTAAAACTATACGTAAAATTGTTTGTTATAAGTCATTTGTGCTATTTATTTTTACCCTGAAGGTATTCTATTCAGCCTCATTGCGTAAGTCGTAAATTAGGCTAAATTCTACGACTCGACAACATTGGCACTGTATACTGTCGTACTGAAATAACTGAACAACGAAAATAGCCGAAAACTATGCAGTGCTGCCAAGTTTTTCTATGTTAATACACTAGTCGAGTCGAAATTTCACTAAATTATGTCGTAAGGTAGAAGTATATGCGCTTTTTGGTCCCAGAGATTATGATAGTGTAGTGCTTACTTCAGTTNTCAATCAATATGAGTTAGGCCGAATTTCCACTAGGTATTGAAATGACAAAAAATTGGAGGCATTTAAAAAATTCCATGTGGAAATGAATTTAATGCATATTTTTTAACGTAATTACACGAATATTTTTTAATGCCCAACTTTGCCATTTAAAGTTTTGTCATTTAATGCATAGTGGAAATCCAGCATTATAATGAATTTATTAATGGCGCAGTCCTATTGCAAAATATAGATATGTTTTAAAACTATACGTAAAATTGTTTGTTATAAGTTATTTGTGCTATTTATTTTTACCCTGAAGGTATTCTATTCAGCCTTATTGCGTAAGTCGTAAATTAGGCTAAATTGTACGACTCGACAACATTGGCACTGTATACTGTCGTACTGAAATAACTAAACAACGAAAATAGTCGAAAACTATGCAGAGCTGCCAAGTTTTTCTGTGTTAATACACTAGTCGATTCGAAATTTTAGGCAATTTTCGATACGATTGGACTCTCGAAAAACTATTTACATTCGACATGACTCTCACAATGAGGCTGATTATATTCTTTTTCGGTTTTACAAACTATTCTATTTCATGAATTTCATATAAAAAAAATTTGGCGATTTTGGGCGATTTTTTTTAAAAGAAATTGCCTTTTTTTATTTAAACAATCTAGACACCATGCTAGGGCTAGCCATGCGCTTTTCGGTTCCAGAGATTAAGATAGTGTAGTGCTTACTTCAGTTGAAGAGATGGCTACTACATGTCTTTTGCCAAAATTTACAGAGCAAAAAAAAACAAAACTTTTGCGGCATAAAATGGCACTAAATAAGCACTAAATTATGTCGTAAGGTAGAAGTATATGCGCTTTTTGGTTCCAGAGATTAAGATAGTGTAGTGCTTACTTCAGCTGAAGAGATGGCTACTACATGTGTTTACCAAAATTTACAGAGCAAAAAAAAACAAAACTTTTGCGGCATAAAATGGCACTAAATAAGCACTAAATTATGTCGTAAGGTAGAAGTATATGCGCTTTTTGGTCACAGAGATTATGATAGTGTAGTGCTTACTTCAGCTGACGAGATGGCTACTACATGTGTTTACCAAAATTTACAGAGCACTAATTTTTTTAGCGGCATAAATTTGCACTAAATAAGCACTAAATTATGGCATATGTGCCAAAGCAATCGGTGAATGTTGTAGTGATTACTTCAGGGACCTTCTACAAACTCTTTAGCCCNCTAAATTATGTCGTAAGGTAGAAGTATATGCGCTTTTTGGTTCCAGAGATTAAGATAGTGTAGTGCTTACTTCAGCTGAAGAGATGGCTACTACATGTGTTTACCAAAATTTACAGAGCACTATTTTTTTAGCGGCATAAATTTGCACTAAAAAAGCACTAAATTATGGCATATGTGCCAAAGCAATCGGTGAATGTTGTAGTGATTACTTCAGGGACCTTCTACAAACTCTTTAGCCCACCTTTTAACAAATCGAAGTATACCCATGGCTTTGTTTACGATCGATGATATATGCAAGTTAAAACGCAATTTTGGTTCAAAAAGTACACCAAGATTATTTATAAAAGATATGTGCTCTAAAGGAATACCGTTTATTATATAAGTTGCCAAAACTGGCCTTAATCGATGACATGTGCTTACCTTTAGAGCTATTTAAAACTAATACATTTGATGTACACCAGCTTTGAAATGAGTCCAAATCGCCCTGAATCGTGTTAAACTGATATCTGAATTCAGATGTTACCAGTTTGAAACTTGCTAAATTAAGGGTTAAAGAGAAATTTCTTAAAGTTTAACGACAAACGAGTTTAAATCTCCCACCCGTCACGGTGGAAATCCCACGCATTGGCAACACTGCTGCTAATCTAAAAATGTTGTTGAGGTCTGATAGACCAACAACAGTACTTAAGGGTTAAGCACCAATGATTTACAAATACAACACGCCATAACGAATAAATGAATAGGTCTAACGNATGCAAGTTAAAACGCAATTTTGGTTCAAAAAGTACACCAAGATTATTTACAAAAGATATGTGCTCTAAAGGAATACCGTTTATTATATAAGTTGCCAAAACTGGCTTAAATCGATGTGCTTACATTTAGAGCAATTTAACACTAACACATTTGATGTACACCAGCTTTGAAATGAGTCCAAATCGCCCTGGATCGTGTTAAACTGATATCTGAATTCAGATGTTACCAGTTCGAAACTTGCTAA